AAATCAATGCCGTGTACACGACCACTGATAGGAGACGCGGAAGGTATTAAACTGATCAGAACAATACTAAACACACCACTAATAAAGTTTCTCTCCTGTATGGCTCCTCAAATGATGCTTAAGATTAGAAGCGGCTGAAAAGCATTTCTCACACAGGTATTAAACTGATAAAAATAGTACTAAACACTCCACTCCTATCTGGTGTCACATTAGCTTGACAGCGCAGTGCCCCAAATTGCAGTAAGAGGACCGACCAAGCCTCTTCTTCCATCTCCCTGTTACAAAAATCAATGCCGTGTACACGTCCACTGATAGGAGGCGCGGAAGGTATTAAACTGATAAAAATAGTACTAAACACACCACTACTATCTGGTGTCACATTAGCTTGACCGCGCAGTGCCCCAAATTTGAATTAGAGGACCCGACCAAGCATCATCTTCTTCCATCTCCTGTTACAGAAATCACTGCCATATCCATACCAAATTGTACAGAATGGTCAGGATAGTTTTCAGGGACAAATGTTGTCTGTTGAGCACGAGGTGACCTTGCTTTCGGGTCCCAATTGTCACGGTTCCTAAAATGGCTGCCATATACCCGCGTCCACTGATAGAGGCAGCGAGTGGCTTGATCCAGAACAATACTAAACACACCACTAATAAGGTTTCTCTCCTGTATGAAACTCCTCAAATGATGCTTAAGATTAGAAGCGGCTGAAAGCATTTCTCACACTCCGAACAAAAATATTTTTTTTTAACATTCTCTCCACTTTGAACGAAATGACGTTTGGGAAGAGATTAACATAATTAAACACAGGCAGTAAAAATACAGTTTTTAGCCATACACTGTAACTTTAAAACTACACATCCCATCTTCATAATTACATATTTTGGAATCAGCACACTTAAAACATAAACATAACCAAAAATCAGCCAAATACATCCAGGGGTTAAAAAGTTAGCTGGAGGTCCCTTTATGACCGACCGCAAGCACATTTTCCTGCCCAAAACAGTTCCATAGATTTGGGCTGTGAGGTCGATCTATTTCAGGCTGAAAAAACGACTAAGTCCCATCGCCGAATGGGACTTAGGCTCTATAACTGAAATAAGGCGAAAAAAGCGACTGAAAAAGACTAGATGTCCCATCGCTTGAATGGGACTTAGTCTCTACAACTGAAATAAGGCTGAAAAAGCATTGAAAAAACGACTAAGTCCCATGGCGAATGGGACTTAGTCTCTGCAGCTGAAATAAGGCTGAAAAAAACGGCTGAAAAAAAGACTAAGTCCCATCGCCGAATGGGACTTAGTCTCTGCAGCTGAAATAATTTCCATTTACTGAACCAAGTGGGAAATAGCAAGGCAGGCACAAAGGGTTTGCACCAGGTCTGGGGACACAGGGGACACCGTCTTAAAGGGGCCGTGTCCCCAACAAGTCTGGGGACACGGCCTTAAAGGGGCAGTGTCCCAATCTTCCTGATGTCCCAAAAAAGGTGTTTAAAGGGCCAGCACCAGTCACATAAAGAGTCCATAAGCCCCAATATGCCCACCGACAGTCTTAAAGGGCCATACACACCAAATAAAAGTGCATACATTTTCACAATCTCCCAGGGGCCATAGTCATGCGGGAGGAGGCTGGCAAGAGGCTTCTCCACAACCCAGGGAAACAGGGCAATTTGCCATTTAAAGGGCCCGTTACAAATAGCAGTTTGTAACAAGGTGTCAATCCATATCTGCCAAGTGACCCTATGTAGGGGGACAGTCCCTATTCTGCTCTGTGTCAGTGTGTATCAGGGGCTCTGAGGACAGGTGTCAATCCATATGTCAAGGTGTCAATATGTCATATGTCAGGTGTCAATCCATATTGATTGTGATTTAGGAATGTTAGGTGATTTCTGCCCTTTATGGATTAAAACCAGACTCTGTATCAACTGTGTAATTTTCCATGGGAGTTTTGCCATGGATCCCCCTCCGGCATGCCACAGTCCAGGTGTTAGTCCCCTTGAAACAACTTTTCCATCCCTATTGTGGCCAGAAAGAGTCCCTGTGTGTTTTAAAATTCGCCTCCCATTGAAGTCAATGGCGTTTCGGGCGGTTCGCCGGTTCGCGAACATTTGCGGAAGTTCGCGTTCGCCGTTCGCGAACCGAAAATTTCGGGTTCGCGACATCACTACTTACTAAAAATATATATTCTAGAAAACAATGTAATATAATGACATGAAATAATTCAGTCTGCATTTTGCTGTCATTAAATCTGAAAATAAAATAAATGGAAGCAAGCACAGAGAAGATTCATTTATTGCAGATAATGTGTTAATAAAAATAAAGTAAACTGATTCATTTGCCAGGACTCTGTATAATCTTTAATCAAATAATTGCAATAGCACTTAGTTTCCTGAAAGGGCAGTAATACATCTTAGCTATGATTAGTAACTAGCTTTACGCATGAAGGATAACATTGTGCTGATTTGTTATTCATCTTCATTAACCAATGCTTTCAATACATGTTGAGAGCCTCTGAGGACTTGCCATTTTAATATTCCTCAATCATCTGCATGAATAAATATCAAACTCTTTTTAGAATTCCCAATGTTTATTTTAGCCACCTAGGGTGACCAGGTAATGGTTTGATTCTAGTCAAGCCTTTATTTACGCTTTTACAAATATTTATCCATAGTTAAAATGTTGCCAGATCACACTTTGGTGGCAGATATAGAGACAGAATGGAAATTAAATAAAGATATAATTACATAGTTGCATAGGCTGAAAAGAGACACGTGTCCATCAAGTTCAGCATGTCACACATCTGTTTTTACTGTTGATCGAAAAGAAGGCAAAAAACCCCAGTTTTAAACACTTCCAATCATGTAACAAATGAGGAAAAATTCTCTTCTGGACCAAAGAATGGCAGTCAGATTTCTCCTTGAAAAAAAAAAAAGCTGTTATGCCACCTCTTAAAAATGATATCCCTGAATATTGTAAGTATTAATCCAATTGCAGTATAAATATCTGTACAAACTCTGATAAAACCACCTCTTCAGGTAAAGAATTCCACATCCTTATTGTTCTTTCTTCAGTTGTAACTGTGTGACCTTGTGTTCTACGTCAAGGTGTGTGTATGGGTCAGTGTGTGCATCTTTCTGTCTGTGCATGTATGTGTCAGTTTTTGTATCCTCAAAATACAACACTACATCCAAACACACCTCTGCATGCAAATGCAATCATTACATAAAACACACTCACTGTATTAAGATACTAAAATTATATACAATCACCAACTCTACAAACAAAAGCACACCTGTATTTAAAAGCCAACACTACATAGAAGCACACCAATGCATTCAAAACACACACTACACACAAGTACACCGCTACATTCCAATGGCAACAGTACACACATTTACACTCCTACAGGCACACACATACTCTATGCAGCTAGATGGGGACCCAACATTTTTTTTTTTTGCACCAGGGCCCTATCTACATTAGTTCCACCACTGCAATAATCTGTCTATTCTGTCAGCAACATGCCAGACCTGCAAACTATCCAGCTGAGATAATCAGAGGAGCAGATCACCCAGTCTTCTCGCCTAATAATAGAGTCCCCTACCATCACAGCCAGTATAGCCCTTCTTACATTCCCAATCCTCCTGGCTGTACTAAAGGAGCTGTTCCCCAGCTGATAGAAGGAACAGCTTCCTCCAGTGCAGCTATTCTTGAGCTGATGCTCGCAACATCTTTACTCGAACAAGCAATCTGTTAGGCTGCACAAATGCAGGAATAGCCATACCTTTCCTCTTCCCATCCCCCTGCTACCACATGTAACTGACAACCAATTAACTGCTTGTTCCCCATCTTTGACTTTGGGTTTTATTTGTGTTCCTCCTATTTATGGCTCCCACTATATTTTGCATCATCGGCTAAATCCTCCTTAATGCAAATCACCCTCTTATTTGCAGACAAGGTCCATATTTCCAAGCTATCCTCTCCTTCCCATCTTACAGAATTCCCTCCCTTTTCAACAAGATATGTGTTTTAAGCCCCTTTAACTTGTTGGTTTGCTTAAGGACTAGTGATCCAGAAGGAATGGAGTACCTCATCTACATCTACTCTGTAGGCTTCTCTGGAGACTTCGTATAAATAATATCATGATTGCCCCCTCCATACAGTAAGGGTATTGAAATTACAATTACAATTATTTATATAGTGCCAACATATTCCACAGTACTGTACAATGGTAAACAAAACAAACACTATATTATAACAAAACATGTTTGACATACTTTAACAGTAGGTGAAGTGGACCCGGCCCTGGTAATGAGGTGTAAGCAAAGGTATATATGTAAAACCATAAAATAAAACAATACAAATTTATATCAACAATGATAAAACCATCCCAGATAACAAGTAATATTTTTATATTTTTAAAATTGTATTTATTTTTTTATTACTCACACACACCGCGGTACAGGAGCTGCAGTTTTTAGTACCTGGCCAGACTGACAGGAAGTTCTCACTGAGAGAGCACTTCCTTTCAGTCCGGCCGGGTACAGGAAGCTCCTGTACTAGGGTCCGGGCCGCCTGGCCACGCTACACTGAGTGACAAATAGGAGGAAGCGCTGTGCAATTCCCTCCTACTGGGTCACTCAAATCTGACCCCCGGCCCAGTGCTCCCTAGGCAACTGCCTACGTTGCCTATAGGACGCGCCAGCCCTGTGTACACTGATGAAATGAAAACAAAGACACAGAAAACACAATATACAAAAAGAAACATGATTTGTCTTCATTCTTTTATTTGGATGTTTCTTTACTCATTGTTTCTGTCTTATGTTATTTCATCAATTATTTGTTTGTAGTGCTCTGCACGTAGTGAAGAATTGACCAAAGTTTAAAAATATTGTCAGCTTTAGAGAAAAAGTGTTTAATTGAAATATTATCGGCATTCAATACGTTTTCAGTCTTCCAGCTCTGTAGAATCGTATCATTTCTTTTAAGGCACTGTATATGTTTGATCTTTTTGATAGAACACCAGGGGTTTTCCACATTTTGAGTTTTTATCTCCGTATAATTCAAAACCTTTTTGAAGTTGTTTTTCATACTCAGACAGTTCCCGCTATGGAGATTTCAGGCAAACGTTTCATTCTCCATATTATAACAATTCCTGCTGGCAACAGCATTAGGGTGCTCATTACAACCCATGTGCCAAATATTACAAGTAAAATTGCCCATATTTCCAGAACATTTCCCATCTTTGATATCAGGTTTTTTTAGTGACCTGCATTGAAAAAAAAAGATATATTGAGGCACATCGTTATAATACTGATAATATTTAACATTTTATAATTTTTTTTTTTTTTAAAAGGACAGAAAATCATTTATTTGTAAAATGATCATTACTCATGAACCTTTGGCTATGAATGAAAAAAAAGAGTATTTTAATATCAGCATTCAGAAACTGACTACATTCCTTTAGGTGAATGAACGCAGACAGGCATTGTGTTTCATATACGGCAGATATATGCAGATAAATCACAATGGTAATTTTTCGAATGTGTTTGGAGTTTTATCATGTTTAGTGTAATCAAAACATATTCAAGTGCTTAGTTTCTGCAACTCTTATCATACTTGTAATATTCACAGTATATTAAATAAAAAAAATGTGACGTCAAAATAGCACTGTAAAAAATATAAAGACAATAGTGATAAAAAAATGACATTGAGAAAAATACAAATAAAAAAATGAAGAAAAAAATAAAATTCATGAAATTTTAATTGCAATGATGTGAAATAATCCACTGAATAATATGCCATCTAATATGCCTCTAAGGAAGGATCACTGAAACTAGTTAAAATGGATAATAAGCATCACTGAGAGAATATTTTTGACTTTATAAATCAGAACTTTTTTTTATCAATTTATCAATAAGATTCCACATAAATCATAATATTATCTTTATGCAATGTAAAGCAATACTCTTTGTTCTTTCTACCTTAATATCTGCCCTCGAGTTAACAAAATATAAGTCAATATAATCACACATGCAGTATTACCGGCTATTATATAAATACAAAAACAAATGCACACGTTACTTTAAAATGTTGATGTAATGCAAGCATGTCAAACTCGCAGCCTGCGTGCTGCATGGGGCCCACAAAGAATGTATTTGCGGCTCAGCCAATCAGGGGGGTGCAACAATCATTTGTCAAACTGACAAGTGATTTTTGCATCCTCCTCGGCCTGTGCTTCCTGTGCCGCCAGGCAGCATTTGGCTTCATAAAGAAACCGCACGCACAGAACACTGGGGGGAGTACCACCCCCACCCACTCTGCATAGGAGCGCAGGGTGTCACGTGACTACCCGTCACTCAGTATGACAACGTACGCCATCTATCAACAAGGCAGCGCCAAACCTGTGCTTCCATCACCTCTGGTGCCAGCTCTGTGAAAAACAGCTGCCTACCAGAGCAGGAGGAGGGAGATATAAATGGAAGTTGTAGGAAGGGAGACATGCGTGAGGGAGACAGGGATGGAAGAGCGATAGGGAGATTTGAATGTGAGGGGATATATGAATTGAAGGGTGGGGGAGAGAGATATAGATGGGGTGGAGAGAGAGACTTGGATGGAATGGGGGGAGAGAGACTTGGATGGAATGGGTGGGGTAGACATAGATGAAAGGGGGATTGAGACATCGGGGTTAGATATGGAAGGGAGAGCCAAGGAAAGGAGGGAGAGACGTGGAGGAGAGATATGGAAAGGAAGCAGAGATGTGGGGGAGAGGTATGGAAGGGAGGGAGAGATGTGGGGGAGAGATATGGAAGGGAGGGAGAGATATGGGGGAGAGATATGGGAGGGAGAGATATGGGGAGAGATATGGGAGGGAGAGATATGGAAGGGAGGGAGAGATGGAGGGAAGCAGGCATGGATGGAAGGGAGGAGAACAGAGACATGGATGGAAAGGAGGGGAACAGAGATATGGATGGAAGGAGGATAGAAGCAAGTGGAATGGAGTGTGCAGCCACACATTACTCTGCCTGGAGATTGCAGAGGGACTGAGGGAGCGAGCAAAGTGGACATGCCAGATGGTGGCACTATTACAAAGATAGTAAGTAACTTGGTGAAGCTTTTGAGTGAATTATATATATATGTACCCAGGATTACATACTGTTTACATGAGAACTATACATGTAATTTTAGTTTGTCTTTGTCTAGGTCAAACTTTTTTTTATTTTTTGCGGCCCACATAAACTTAAACCTTGTTTTTTTGTTCCGAGTTAGCCTTTGAGTTTGACATGCTTGATGTAAGGGATTTCACAGATTAAAATGGAATCTGTTTACAAGAGAAAATAAGTATCGCTGGTAAGCAAAAAAACAAGTTTTGATCTCAGCAGATAACAGACTGTAAGTAGCACTAGGTTAAGGGGAATTAGAAAAAACACCAAATAAAACTCAGAAACATATTTTTTCTATTTCTCCAAAATTATGAAATTTTGTATTGTAGTTTTAATAAATTAATTTCCTGTTATCTCTTTTAAAGACGTGATAATTCTAAATGGTTTATTATTTATTCACTTAAACGTAAATTAAACATAAAATAAATAATGACATACATGGTACCCCCAAAGTTACCAAGTTAACCTGGATTTTACAGTATACCCAGCAGAGCAGTCATAGCAAACGTGTCATACACTGAATTGGCCACTTTTTAAACAGGTATATCACAATATACGTGAATTTCATGTACACTGATCAGTCACAACATTAAAACCACTGACAGGTAAAGTGAATAACATTGATTATATCCTTACAATGGCACGTGTCATGGGGTGGGATATATTAGGCAGCAAGTGACAGTCAGTTCTTGAATTTCATGAGCTAAAAGCATGAGTGTAACGATACCTTACCTGTGTCCGCCGATCCCGCGCGGCACGGCGGTTTGCCCGGCTGCTTCCGGGGGCGGCGCAGCCTCTTGGACGCTGCCCGCTCGCGGCGAAATCCGTTTTATGACGCGGTGCATGCGCGCCGATGTCATAATGATTTTGCTGCGAAAATTAAAACGCGGTCACGCTCCCGAACCTTTTGGGGGCGTGGCTTTAAAGTGACACACACATTAGTATAAAAGGGCATCCCTGTCCACCCCTCAGTGCCCTAGTGTGGTTCTTGATTGTTCCCCTAGTGCTCTTATACTGTATTATCTGTTCTTCTGGTATTTTGACCCTTGGCTTTCGTTCTGACTATTCTCCTATCTGGCTCCTCGACTTTTGGCTTGGCTTTCTCGTTTATCCCGATTTCCGTACACCCTTGATCCTCGGCTTTTTCTTGACTATTCTTTGACGTTAAGTCCGGCCACCCTAAGGTCCGGTATACGTCCCTTTCTGGGTTACCATCTGTGTGAAGGGGTCACTGTCGTGACAATGAGCAAGCGAAAAGACTGGGTCAGAGCATCTCCAAAACAGCAAGTCTTGTGTGCATGTTCCCAACATGCCGTGGTTAGTAACTACCAAAAGTGGTGCAAGGAAGGGCAAACAGTGAACTGGTGTTAGGGTCATGGGCACTCAAGGTTCATTGATGTTCCTAAGGAGCTACTGTAACTGAAACTGCTAAAAACATAAAGGAACACTGTAACATTAGAAATAGATATCTGTATTCCTAACGGTACAACCCTGATTCCCCTAATCAATTAGGTTGCACACCCCGTATAAAAGAAAAAAATTACATAAAAATAAAACAATTTACTCACTTTTTATCCAGAGAAAAAAAGCCAGACACAAGAATACCAGGACCCAAGATTTGCCAGCAAAATATTGCCTAACCCTAGAGCATAACACTGTCACTGCCGACCTTCTTTCCATAGTGCATCCTGCTGCCATATCTTCCCAAGGTAAACAATACACGCACCTGGCAATCCACCTGATCTAAAAGAAAACATGATTCATCAGACCAGGCAACCTTATTCCATTCCTCGATGATCCGTTCTGAAGCTCACCTATTCCATGAAGTAACTTTCAGCGGTTGACAGGGGTCATCAGCTGGTGTGTACAATAACAGTTCTGGCTCCTTTCTATCATGGCCAGCATTAGGTTACTTGAATAAATTACTAGCAGTACATCTTACCAAAGGTAGCAACAGAATGTAAAATAATGTATAAATATAGTTAAATCATCTATTCCTAAAATAAAGGTATTTAAAAAGTGCTATAGCAATCTCTATCACACTGGAATTCTAATATAATTGCTACCAGTGATATGGCAGAGCTCATTCAGTCAATGGCACCATCTACTGAAACGTCCTATACTATTTGGAAGGAGAGGGTGAGTTGACATTTTCAGCCCACATTACATGAATGATAAATATGTTCTCTACTGGCTTTTAATCATTCCTAGAATATAAATGAGGTGCATGAGGATTTACGGACTACATACCATTTTGGAAAAGTACATGAAATTAAGAATGTTGATACTCTATTCTGGAGGTGAAATTGAACCAAGCACATGGTTGTACACAATGAGATGTGTTCATTCAAATAATTCACTACATTTCCACCAAACTTGGCAAATCTAAATCATATATCACATGGAAATAGCCTTCATGTGTCATATGTACTAACTATTTTGTTATATACAGTGGGTATAACAGAGAAAGGAATACAAATGAACAAATACACTGTTTTTGGTTATTTGTATAAAGAATACAAAATAAAAAGTCAAATGAAATCTAGCCATGTCTAAAAGGGAAAAGAACTGTGCAAATTGTCATACTGATATATTGGTACATAACCATTGTGACAAACTCTCCTTTTTAAGGGAGTTTGCCATGAGTTTTTGGAGAGGCCTGCTTGCCAGCCTCCTGCCCTGTGATTATGGCCCCTGGGGTGTATTGCCATTTAAAAAGTCTATTTGGGCTTATTGGATTTTTAAAACACTTTTTCTGCCCCTTTAATTCCATGTGAAAATGTGCCTCTTCCTCTTCCACTACCCGTTTTCCTGTCCTATTGTTCTTCAGCGGGGCATTGTCTCAGGTACACTGCCAGACGAGTTGAAACTGGCTGCCTTGTCCCTCCTCATTCTCTCATCAGCCCTTTCTATTGTTTAACCCCATGGCGATCCAACTGTATTCGTGGCATATGAGCGCTTTTCGGACATATTGAGAGCTCAGATCCAAGCTATCTGGGGATATGTTGGACATATAGGTTAAACATTGTATTATATGACTTATGGGAGGGTTATGGGAGGGTATTGTGTGCCTTAGCTGGGAGTGTCTGACTGTACTGTACTATGTTGATTGGCTGTTGTAACTTTGTGTCCTGTGTACCACAAGGTCCACGTGGGTGGTAACCTTTTGGGAAACAATGTATATAAGAAAGTCCTGTGTGCTCATTAAAACAGTTCTACTTCACCCTCAATCTAGAGTCCTGTGTCTTATTGGGGGAATCTGCTACAAGGGATTGCTATGCTCTTCATACTCCCTTGAATAATCGCTAAGCTCTTGTAAGAGCTTGTTCGTGGGGTCTGCAGTGCTTATGGTGTCAAGTGGAGTGCTTGGAGCTCTCGGGAAGCACTAGGAGCATCCATCAACGGAGGTACCCAATCGGGGTGCCAGGTGATCCGTTAAAACCATAATGAGAGTTTTTATTTTGCATATTTAAAATGAATGTAAGAGCATGTGATTTTTAGTGTTTTTCTTACAGTTCACTATTTTTATAATTTTATTGCAGATTATCTGTATCACTGAATAAAAATATTGAAAACTGAATTTTTATTTAAAAGAACACTAGTCACCAGAACAACTACAGCTTGATGTAGTGGTTCTGGTGTGATGTCTATAGCCTTTCCATGCAGACTTTTCAGTGTAAACGCTGCCTTTTCAAAGAAAAGGCTGTGTTTACATTACTGTCTTGTAACACTTTCGGTGGCAGTCACTCAGAATGTGCATGCTATGCATGGAAACAGTTAACTTTCCCAAAAGAGATGCATTGAATCAATGTGAAAGTGTTGTTTGTGTGTAAAAAATGCAAAAAACATCACTTTCACTGTCAATATCATCGCTGTGATATGTTTTACTGTTTTGAAACGCTAATATTTGTGTTCAGCGAAATCTCCCGGGAATGTGCATGCTATGCATGGAAACAGTGAACTTTCCCAAAAGAGATGCATTGATTCAATGCATCTCCATGAGGAAATGCTGAATGACCAGGGTGGCATTTGCCTCTGCCCCTTGGCCCGTCTCCTTAGCTGAGCTCATTAGAATGGACAATCTCAGCCAATCCAATGCTTTCGTATTGGAAAGCATTGTGGTTGGCTGAGATCATCAATTTTGATGATGTCAGCCAAAAGGGCGGACAGTGGATTGAGCTAGCACAGGGTAACTTTGCGGAATTGAAAATGAATGAAATAAGGTGAGTTGTTACTAAATTTAAGAGGGACAATGGGGGGGCATGGGGGGAGGGCTAAATAGTTAGTTTAACACTATAAGGTCAGAAATACATGCTTGTGCTCCTGACGCTATAGTGTTCCTTTAAATTAGAGAACCTGAAACAAAGGATGGGTTATGTTTCCTTGACTTGATCCAATCCCTTTAAAGAAACTTACTGTTCAAGACATGTGTAACACTTGACTATGCTGATCTCATGAACCAATTTAGTTTGCCAGGAAAATAAGTGTCTCCATGGTAATTTTGTCTTTAGTGCACAGAAGATTATGAAGCAGCTATTTTAAGTAAACATGCTGTTCAAGTTACAATTGTCAAGCAAAGACATTGCAACATTGTAATCCTCTTATACACCAATGAAATAGCTTGCCCCACAAACATTATCTATAAATAACCTTAAATAATTGCATTTATTTATTTAATATCACTTTATAAAGAATGACAAGTACTCTATGCATTCTTTAGCTAATAAACCCATAGAATACCTTTCACTCTTATATATACACTTTTACATTTTATCTCTATTTTCTTGATATACCATTAACCCTATAGTGACCAGACCATTTTTAAATTTTCTTACCGTTAAGGACCAGGGCTGTTTTACATTTCTGCTGTTTGTTTTTAGCATAAATTTTTCTCTTACTCATTTACCGTACCCACACATATTATATACAGTTTTTCTCACAATTAAATGTTTTTTCTAACAATACCATTATTTTCATCATATCATATAATTTACTATAAAAAAATTATAAAATATGATGAAAAAATAAAACACACACACTTTTTTGAACTTTGACCCCATAATCTGTTACGCATCTACAACCGCCAAAAAACACCCATGCTAAATCGTTTCTCAATTTTGTCCTGAGTTTAGCAATACCCAATGTTAACATGTTCTTAGTTTTTTTTTGGAAGTTATAGGGCTATGAGTACAAGTAGGTTATTGCGGTTTCAAAATATGTATTTTTAAAATGTATCAATAGTGACGTTGTAACACTGTTAACTGTCATAAATCTCTGAACCACACCTCACATGTACATATTTTTTTAAAGTAGACAACCCAGGATATTTAATATGGGGTATATCCAGTCTTTTTTAGTGGGGGGTGGGGGGGAGGGGGTTAAGGGGTTACTGTTATACTCTGGAGATTTCACTGAACACAAATATTAGTGTTTCAAAACAGTAAAACATATGACAACAATGAGATCATCAGTGAAAGTGTTGTTTGTGTGTAAAAAATGCAAAAAAAATCACTTTCACTGACAATATCATCACTGTGATATGTTTTACTGTTTTGAAACGCTAATATTTGTGTTCAGCGAAGTTTCCCGTGTAAAATAGTACCCCATATGTTCAGGTTTGGAGTGTCATGGAAATACAGCGCTAGCAAATTAAATTGTCTGGAACTTTGGCCTGGGTTGTCAGGCAGGTCCCTCAAATTACAATCAATACAATTACTTAATTATGTAAATATATTACAGAAATATGCATGTATACTTTAAATATATATATATATATATAGTGTGCAGATTTTTGTTTAGCATTGTATTAACTATCCACATACTTCAGGTGGAAGGGGTTTTCAATCACAATTTTTCCCCACCATAACCTATTTAGATCTTGCTTCCCAAGCACTACCAAGCCTCAATTAGCAAACCAGTAACCAACCTCATGCTGAAGAGTTGCATTAACAACGAAACAGCTGTCCATGAGTGGTTCACTGGTTTCGCATCTTATCCTAAATTGTGTTCCAAGCAGTTGTATACTGCAAACACAAATTAAAAGGAATCCATGTTTAAAATGGAATGAGGCAAAAATGTGATTCTTTGTTACACTAATTTGCATATGCCCACCCAGAATCCTTTGTGGTTGTAACATCACTGCTGATTTGGGATTTCTGTGGGAAAAGCAAGTTTTATGGCTTGACTGGTGTGCAGATTTTTGTTTAGCATTGTATTAACTATCCACATACTTCAGGTGGAAGGGGTTTTCAATCACAATTTTTCCCCACCATAATATATATATATATATATATATATATATATATATATATATATATATATATATATATATATATATATACACACACACACATATACATATACACACACACATACACACGATACCAGTAGAGAGCACTCAGGAGTCTTTCAAGTTTTTTACAGTCTGAAACGTCGACTGAAACGTTGTGTGAATTTGTAATTGCTCAATAAAGCAACAGATGAAATTTACCTTGAAAGACTCCTGAGTGCTCTCTACTGGTATTGTATACAATTTGGTTGGAGACAGCACCGGAGCATTAAAAGACCGGGAGCATTGAGTGCTGGGATCTGGGACGTATATATATATATATATATATATATATATATATATATATATATATATATATACATATTTATGTATTTGAAGTCTATGTGTATATTTATTAAATTATTTATGTAATTATCTATATGGATATATATATATATATATATATATATATATATATAAATATGTATTTCGTATTATTTATATTTATGGATATATACATAGATATACATATATATATATAATTTCATTCTAAGTGTATTTTCTTATAAATATAAATATATATATATATATATATATATATGTTTATATGTTTAAGGCCGTAAGGCCTGTATTTGTGGGAGGAGTTAGCGTTCCTATATAAACGCTACTCCCCCCTTCCTACCTTGCCGTACACCCTCTGTTCACCTCGTCTGTGACAGCGGAACTTCTGGTCCTCGCTCTTCCGGTCTGGCGTCCTCTCCGTTCCCCCGCTCCTCGTTTCGGGCAACAAAACATATGAACGCCAAGGTAATTGGCAAATAGCTTTCGGCTATTTGCCGTTTGACAATTTCCAACCAAATGTGGATATATTGTACCCTTTACCACTAATGGTTTATTAAATGGTTTGTTATTTTGCTTATATATAAATAATGTTATGTTTAGCTTTTGTCACATAATTTTTTCTGCTCAAGTCATATAACTCTTATTATTTAAATGCTGGATGATAGTAAAGAAATATAGTGGTTTCTTCATTATCAAATAAGCACAGAAAGCATCTGGTTGTGCAAAAAAATAAAATCATGCCAGAAACATAGTGTATGGAAAAAAAGCAAATAATGTATTTTTCACCATAGCTCAATATATTATGTTCAGCTTTGAAGTGGAAGTAGTGAGATATCTTCCAGGAAATGTCTAATATTTCCCATGAACCTTTGCATAGTTTTCTTATTCACTTCACAATTATTTTTACAAATATATCGTGTATGCACAATCAAAGTTTTCACTCATTTGAATGAGAAATAACTGAGCATGTGTGGTGTCCTTCTCTCTAATAGGCCCTTCCCTTCTCTCTACACTATAAGGGCACACTCCATTGGAGAGAGAAGAATAACACTGAACTACTAACAGTTTACAGAGGTTATTCTATACACCGGTCTTGTTAAATTCAGGACATACAAACAGTTTGTTTTACTTGTACCATACACTGGCTTTCTGTTCATTCGTTTGAACTGGCTGGCTTTCTGTACATTCGTTTTAACCGGTTCATTCATTTAAATCCTGACGAACGAGGTCTCAGGTCTAAATTTAATGTTACCCTTAAATGGCCTTCATATGAAACTCCCGAACAGGGGTCAACCCACTTGTACGCAGATTCATTCGCTTAGACTACACAAAGCCTGACGACAAGGCTTTCGTGCACACATTCACAAAGATAGCATTACGGCTAAACAGCATGCTACATACTGACCCCAGCCAGTCTCTCTCAGTACAAGATTTGTTAAAGAACCTTTGTTCGCACAGACGCTCGCAACTCACCAGGTAATCGTCGAGAATAGCCACGTTCGGGCTATTCCCGCCGTCGACCTACTTTCTCCTTAACTATACATACGAACATATGAGACAAATATTTTTTAGTTTATTTGAACA